TTTTTTTTTTTTTACTCCTAAACAGTGCTCAGTGGGCACAGGCTTCTGGGCAGGTATCTTGGTGCAGGCATGAAAGCTCAGTGCCCAGATGGTCACTGTGGTAGTGGGGGCCATGGGTGCTGGGATCCAACTCGAGGCTTCTGCACAGGAGTCTCGCCCCAGCCCCTGAGCCACCTCCTGACAGTTCAAAGCAAGATGGAACAGCAGCACTTTGAGATGGGAAACGGATGTCACGTTTGGCTTATCTAAATTGGACACGTGGTCCCCAGTGCCTCACGGGACGCATGGGTCCCAGTGCCATAACAGGACGTGTGGTCCCTAGTGTCTCATGGGACACGTAGCCCCCAGTGCTTCACAGGATGCGTGGTCCCCAGTGCCTCACGGGAGGCGTGGCTTCCCTGGTGCCGTAACCAGATGTGTGGCTTTCCAGTGCCGGCCGACTCCTTTAGAGTGGCCGTGGGAGTTCCGCAGTGCCATGTCCACCCAAGGAAGCTCAGGGACTGCAGAGGCAAGACTTCAGATGACCACATCATCTGAAGGGGAGGCCACGTCAGCACGTTCCTGCCACTGAAAGGAAATGAAGTTTCCGTTCAAACCTGAAACCAGGGCCCCCTGGGTCACCCCTGCATGCACTGACCGCCCTGCGGCACAGCCCTGGGGCCGCATAGCCTGAGCAGCTCTGAACCTCTGGGTGGTGACTGAGGATTGCCCAGTGGCCTGGAACCACTCCTGGCCACTCGGGGCACTACCTGCTACCTCTCCCGCCCCCACAAAAGAAGCTTCAGTGGGAGGGGAGGGGGGGAGGGCCTGAACAGAGCCCTCAGGCGCCCGGCCACACAAGGGCATCGCTATCCCCTCTACAGTCAAGGCCTCAATCTGAACTGTGTCTGTCCCCTGCGGGCGTGGAGTGGATGTACCTGCCTCAGGGCTGCTGTGACACTTAAGGACAGGGAGGAGCAGAGGAGGAGCAGGTGCTGAGTGTGACCTGCCCCTGGCGGTGTGGTGCAGAAAACTGGGATGAAATCAAGGGGTGGTGTTTGGGGGGGTGCAGGCAGCATGGGAGCCCACTGTATGGCCTGACAGCTCAGTGCTCAGTAGTTTGGTGCTCACCCAGTGGTGTGTTCAAGGGCTGTGTGGTGCTGGAGATATAACCCGGGGCCTGTGCCCACTGGTCACAAACTCAGCCTCTGAGCTCTCTGCTGGGCTTCAGGCATCCAGGCTGCAGCCCTGGCACTGCCAGACGTGCCCTGCCCCCAGCACTGCTCTGTGCAGCCCTGGAGGCTGGACACCCACCTCCCCTCCCTCCATTTCTCTCTCTCTCTCTCTCTCCTTTTTGGTTTTGGGGCCACACCCAGCAGTACTTGGGGCTCACTCCTGGCTCTGCACTCTGGAGCCGCGCCTAGCAGTGCTCAGAGAACCATCTGGGATGTCGGGAACTGAACCCCGGTCAGCACAGTGCAAAGCGAGTGTCCTACTTGCTGACCATCTCCAGGCCTCCGATGTCCTGCCCTGCAGCCTCCCAGCACATCACCTAGCTCAGCTCCCCGAGAAGAGTTCCAGCTCCAGCAAGCCACAGCCTGGGAGGGGCCCTGACCCTGGTGGCAGGGAGCTGGGACCAGGCTCCGGAGCACAGAGCAGCGAGGTAGCCAGGAATGACTGCTCAGATGGCCCAGGGAGCTCGGGCATAGAGTAGAGGGTCACAGAGTAGCGGGTCGGGGCCCTGGGAAGGGCACGCAGGAACAGGGGGAGAGGCCAGTCCTAAGGCTCTAGGAGGTCTCGATGACCAGCAGGCTCTGTCCTGAGCCAGAGCCCTGCTGCTACTTGTTTTTTTTTGGGGGGGGGAGCAGGGAGAGTGTCATCTGGAGATGTTCAGGGGCCTTGGGTTTCCTTCCTGGTGGGGCTCAGGCTCCCCATGTGTGCTGCCGAGGCCCTGGAGTCAGCCGCAAAGACCAGCGCCGGCACCAACACAGTCAGGGAGCAGCAGCAGGACCGGGAAGGGGGGCCCGTGTTCATGCGGGCCAACCCGGGGCAGGCTGCGCTGAGCTGCTGTGGGTTCCCGAATCCTGGGGGAGGGGGGCGCAGGTGACCCGGCAGCTGTATTTACGGTAGCACCTTGAAGAGCTTGGGGTCACCTGGAAGGGACCCGCAGAAACCCTAGGCTAAAGCCCAATGAGCTGGGGCTGGAGCAATAGCACAGCGGGTATGGCCTTTGCCTTGCACGCGGCCGACCCGGGTTCGATTCCCAGCATCCCATAGGGTCCCCCGAGCACCGCCAGGAGTGATTCCTGAGTGCATGAGCCAGGAGGAACCCCTGTGCATCGCCGGGTGTGACCCAAAAAGTACTAAAAAAAAAAATAAAATAAAGCCCACTGTGCTGGAGTGAGACTGGGCTCCAAGGGTTGTCTTCGCCACTGCAGTGGTCACTCCGAGGGGCCTGGGGGCATGTGGTCCCCCGCAGCCACGTGGAAAGTCTTGGGCGACCCCGACAGTGGGAGCCCCGGAGTGCCCCAGCCGCTGCCCGGAGATGAGGGCGGGCGCGGGAAGAGCACGAGCACAGTTCACCTGGCAGGGGGCTCGGCTAGGGGGCTCAGGGGCACGCGAGCTTGCAGGACGTCGAGGACGACGGCCACCTGGGCGCGGAGGCACGACGGGAGAAATTTCCAGAACTCTGCCCGTGCAGGAGCCTGGGCTGAGCACCTGGGGGCTGGGGCGGGGCACGTTCCCACGGAGGGAGGGGCGGGGGCAGGTGCGTGGGGGGCTCAGTGGCCGGAAGCGGCTGGGGCCGGGCGGGGGGGGCGGATCGGGAGGAGGCCCAGGGCCCGCGCGCCCCCCCGCACGCGGAAGGGGCGGGGTCGAGCCGCGGAGGCTCCTGGGACTTGTAGTCCCAACCGGGCCCTGAAGCTTCGAAGAACTACAACTCCCAGAAAGCCACGCGGCGCCACACCCGGCGGGGGGGACCGGGGCGTGGCCACGGCTCGGTGCCTCCCGGCGTTTGCCAGCGCCGCCTGGCGGGGGTCTCCGAGCACTGCGAGGCTCCGCCAGCCCCTCTGAGCGCCCTGCGGGGCGTCCGGTCGCCTGCTGGGGAGAACCCGCAGGACCTTTTTCTCTGGTTTGCAGGCAATGCAAGACGAGCGTGGGGAGCCAGCAGAGATGAGTCTAGGGTAGTGGACGGCACAGACGCGGCGTTGGAGGAGTGACGGGAACGGGCTGGCGAGAAGCAGAGGGGGGCTGGGGGCGGGTGTCTGGCCTGCAGGGTGGTCGGAGGGATGGATGGATGGAGAGAGAGAGAGAGCCGCTGGAAGGGGGAGCTGGGACCTGGCCGGGGTGTGGGGGGAGGGGTGGAGGGCACCGGGGATGGAGGCGCTGGGAACTGCCCTGAATGCATGGGGTCAGCGGGACGGGTGCCCAGATTTGGGCCTCTGGGGAGTATGTTGAGGCTGCAGGCGGTGGAGATGTTACAGCTTGTTCGTAGACTGACGGCAAAGACCCTGCCGGGAAGAATGGACCGTGAGGGTGGGAGGGAGGGCAGCGTCAGTGGGCAGGCAGAAGCCAGAAAGCAGAGCCAGCAGGCAAGGCAGAATGCCAGGGCAGAAGGGCCCCTCCAGCTGCTGACGGGAGACAGTGCTTGGGGATGGGGTCCCCGGGGGACAGAGGTGGTGTGACAGGGCAGAAGGGAGGGCTGACAGTGGTCACTGCCAGGGGAGGAGGCCTGGTACCAGCCGCTGACCCGCACCTGGCTTACTGAACCTTGCACCGCAAGTCCTGGGGTCCGTCCCCAGGGCTGCTTCGAGGGTGTCGCCGGCCCTTGGCTGACGCTCCCAGATGGCATCAGAGCCCTTTGCAGAGGCCTCCGCCATCAGGCTGGGGTTGGTCCCCTGAGCATCTGTCACAGGGTGGGTCGGTGAGAAGCAGGACCCCGGGGCGCCCGCGGTGGACCCTTCACCAGGCCCATCTGATCAGGGATGGCTCGGAGGGTAGGACACAAGCCACACCCCCTGCAGGGGCAGAGGGCAGTGAGGGCCACGTTCTGAAGCAGAACTGGGAGCCCCGTCCTGGTCCCGCCCAAGGTGAGAACAAGCAGTTTGGGGACAGGAGATGTGGACTGGACTGTGACAGTGATGCACGAGTGGGCTGACCATGTCAGCTGACCGTGTAGGCTGACTGTGTGGACTGGACCGTGCAGCAGTGATGTGGAACCAGCCAGCGGTCCTGCCAGCCCTGTCCCCAATCCAGCTCCCACCCATTCGAGCTTCCCGGGACTTCTGGTCCTCCAGGCCCACAGACCACTGCCCAGGCAGCCTGGATGGTGCCGCTCTGACTTCCAGCGAGGGGCCAGGTGGGACTTTTCATCCTCCAACAGAGGGTCCCCTTTGGCCAAAGTGAATGACTGAAGCCCACTGCATTCTGTACCTTGTACCTGGGCCCCGAGATCGACCTCAGAGAAAACACCCCTCAGCGCCCGAAGCCGGGGAGCAGAGGGAGTCCCCAGGGCATAGTTATTCTGGGGACCAACCCAAGCCAACACCGCAGTCAGATGGCGGCCAGTGCAGTGGACACCTGCTACTCAGCCCGGGAAGGCGCCCTGGGGATTCCCACCACACACCGCGGCCCCGTCATCCAGAAACCCTCAGGAGCAGGTAACTCTCCAGAGTCCTTTATTTAACCACCTGCAGGCAGCTGGCGCAGACCAGGTGCCCTGGTGCCCCCCACACTCCAGACGTCGCCTTGCTCTGCCGGCTGCGGCCCCAGGCTCCGTCCAGCTTCCGCCAGGCCAGAGATCGCCAGCAGGGGAGAGGCTGCACCCCTGGGTCCCGACAGGTGACTCCCAGAGCGCCAGGCTGCTCCTGACCCCCTCCTCACCCTGAGGCAGGATGTGCCCAGGACATGCCCTCGGCCAGCCCCTCCCAGCCTTGCACTGGAGGAGGGCAGAGCAACACCCCCCCCAGTCTGGACCCCAGGGAGCAGGGAAAGCCGGGTCCCCCGCCGATGGTCAGCGCCCGTCACCACGGCCTCCAGACGCCCTGGTGGGCCAGGCGGGCCGTGGTCAGGCTGCCCAGGGCGGCGGGCGTCGAGTCCAGGCCCTCGGCGGGGCCCCGGCTCAGTTCGGCCTCCGGGGCCTCCTCCAGGTCGGAGCACAGGTCATCGCTGGGGCCCCGGGGGCTGGGCAGCGGGGACCCCAGGGCCCCGCCCGGGGGCCAGCCGCTCCGGCCCGGGGCCCCTCCCACGGGTCCGGCCAGGGCGTCCCCCAGCAGGTCGCGGAAGCTGCTGCCCTCGCGCAGGGGCATGGACTCCAGCAGGTGGTTGAGGAGCTGCGCGGCGACGGTGGCGTCGATGGCCTGGCACGTGGACACGAACGTGTGCACCTCGTGCATGCACTGGATGTAGCCGGCGGCGAAGCGCTCGCTGGCCTCGGCGCGCAGCTGCTCCCGCTCTGCACGCGGTGGGGGACGAGAGCGGCGCGGGGTCACGGGCTGGACCCCCGGGCTGGCCCCCGCCCCGCGCCCGGCCCGGCCCCCGCGCCCACTCACCGCGCGCCCGGCCCCGCAGCGCGCCCTGCACGCGCCGCACCGTCAGCTCCAGCACCTCGGCGTTCTCCAGCCTGGCCTGCACCTGCGGGCGGGCGGGCGGGCACGCGTGAGCCGCGGGACGCGCGTGGGACCCCCCGCCCCCCGCCGGCCCGGGCCTCACCTGCGCGCCCGCCAGCAGCTGCCGCAGCTCCCGCAGGCTCGCGTTGATGCGCGCGCGCCGCCGCTTCTCCACCAGCGGCTTCCGGGCCTGCGCGGGCTGCGCCGGCCCCGCGCACCCCGCGCCCGCCGCGCCCGCCGCGCCGCCGCCCCGCCCGCGCCCGGCCCCCGCGCCCGCCTCGCGGGCCCCGCACGCCGCGCCGCCGCCGTCCGCCGGGGGCGGAGCCATGACCGAGCGCCGCGCGCGCCGCGCCCAGAGCCCCGCGCCGCCGCGCCCGCCGCCCGCCGCCGCCCTTATAGCGCCTCATTTGCATCTCAATGCGCCCATTGGCCGCGCCCGCCGCCCCGAGAGCGCCTCATTTGCATCTCAATGCGCCCATTGGCCGCGGGGGCCCCGGGCCGCGGGCCGCGAGGCGCGTCTCGGCCAATGGGCGCCGCGCGCTTTGTCTGGGCCGGCCGCCGGGTCGGCCGGCAGCTGGCGGGGCGGGGCGGGGCGGGGCGGGGCGGGGCGGCCGGGCGTGGTCCCAGCCCGGCGTCCCGGACCCGAGGGCGGGCCCACAGCCTCGGGGGCGGGGACCCGGGCGGGGGCTGTGGCCTGGTGGGGGGCGTTCGTCTACCTCCCAGCTCGGGCGAGCCCCCCCCGCCCCGGGGTGCTGCGCGTGGGAGCCGGAGCCCCTGGTCCGCCCGTCCGTCTGTCCGTCCCTGCACCCCTCCGGGAACCCGCCCATCCATCCTCCCACCCTCCCAGCCTTCGGTCCACGCACCCATCCACCCACCCAGTCTTCCATCCTCCCATCTCGAGAAGCCCCTGCGAGGCCGGGGCGCCGCTTCCTCGGGGGAAACCTCCCCATAAAGCGGGGAGGGGCGCCCGTGCGGCCGGCGCTGGCCGGGGAGGGGAGGGCGGGAGAGCCCCGCGGTCCCCCTTCCTTTCCCTTTGCGCGATGCGTCCGGACTCAGACGGACCCCGCGACCCGGTTTCGGGGTCCTAGCGGGCCCGCCCCGCCCCGCCTCCCGGCTCGCCCCCTCCTCCCCGGCTCCTGGTCTTCCTCCGCTTTCCCGCAGTCGAGTCGTGCCCGTGCCCCCCGTCCCCATCCCTCCACCCCGCCCCAGTCCTTCTGCGCCCCGTCCCCCTCGACCTCCCCTGGCCCCCCCCGGCCCCCGGCCCCGCGCCCCCCGCGCCCCCCGCGCCGGCTGGTCCCCGTAACTTGATGCCCGTGACAGTTGGCAGCTGCAGCGCTGGGAGCAAAGCGGCGGCCGCGCCAAGAGCGACAGGTGTTGGTCGCGCCTTTGTCTGGCGCTTTGTCCGCGGCGGCCGCGCCCGTGTCCCCCAGGCGACCGCCGCCCCCGCCGCGGCCGCCCATCTGCCAGGGCCCTGGGCGCCGGCCGCACCCTCCCGCCACGCCGGCCCCCTGCCCAGGGCGGGACCCCACGGCCCAGCCAGCGGGGCGACGTCCTCCCGGTGAGCTCTGGGCTCGCTGCACCCACCCCGAGCCCGCATCCAGCCGGGGCGGTCACCAGGGTTCCAGCTGTGCCCCTACCTACGGGCTCTGGCCCTGGACCCCGGCCCCAGCTCCTCCCCGGGAGAGGCCGGAGTCTAGAGCAGGGGTGAGAGTGGGCTCCAGACACCCCTAGTGACCCCAGCCGCGGTCACTTGTCCCCTTCAGGCTCATCACCGCAGGGCACAGAGGATTGAAAGTCCCCAGCGTCCTCTCACTGGCCTCTGCAGACCCGAGGGCGAGGGCAAGGGAGTGGGCCCTGAGCCACCACCCACCCTGGCCTGCTGGGGTCTGAAACTGCCTCTCCCCTCCCCTGTGGTCCAGAAGCTTCTCAGCTCCTCCTGCCCCCACCCCCACTTCGTGTGTGCTCAGGGCCCTGACTGCCAGTGGAAGGGCTGGTGGGGCAGGGAAGGGGCTCAGGCCACCCCAGGCCCACAGGGTTCCCCCCCCCCCACTCATCTGCCAGGAGTCCCCACCCCCATTACCTGCAGTTGTTCCCACCATGAGAAACTGAAATGGAAAAGTCAGTTCAGTGACACTCCTTCTGTTTTTGGGTCACACCCAGCGATGCTCAAGGGTTACCCCTGGCTCCACACTCAGGAATTACTCCTCAGCGGTGCTCAGGGCACCATATGGGATGCTGGGACTCAAACCTGGGTGGCCGTGTACAGCAAGGCAAATGCCCTCCCTGCTGTACCATCACTCCGGCCCCTCAGTGACGTTTTGTGTGGTTGGATTCACACCTGCTTCCGGAAGCCACGACATGGTTTGGTGGCTGAGCAGTTCCTGGGCAGGATGGAGGCTCTGGGAAGAGACCGGAGGGACACCTGGGCGGGCAGACGGGCATGTGGTGAGGGCAAATGGTTGGGGCAAACAAACTAATAAGAGGGAAGAAAAGAAAGACCATGAGGAACTCCAGACGAAGCAAAAGAGCTTCCCAAGAAGGAAAGTTTACTCCTGGGGTGGGGCGCTTGGAGCACTGTGCTCAGGGACCAGTCCTGGCAGGGGTGGGGGGACCATATGTGGTGCTGAGGATTGCACCTGGGGAGGCTGCGTGCAAGTCAGGTCTTTTTGTTTAGTTTGGGGGCCACACCCAGTGGTGCCCAGGGGTTACTCCCAGTCTGCTCAGGAATCACACCTGGTGGTGCCGGAGGCCCTCTGGGGTCTCCCAGGATTGAACCAAGCGTCCTACCCACTGTCCTACTGCTCTGTGCTCTGTCTCCAGCTGGAGAAATGTGGCCCTCACTTACACGGGGCCCAGACATAACCCTGCAACACTGACCCCAGGTGTGTTGGAGAAGGCAGGGAAGGCTTGGTCATGGCTCTGGGACATGGCAGTCACCTGTGTGCCAACACAGGTCAGGTGAAATTGGTAAAATAAAAAACCAAAACCCCCAAAGAGGCTGAGAGGGCCCCTTCCTCCCCTCCCCCACCTTTTTTTTTTTTTTCCAGTTTTTGGCCCAAGCCTAGCAGCATTCAGGGCTAACTCCTGGTTCGGCACTCGGGGATCACTCCTGGAGGGGCCTGGGGGACGACGTGGGGGACACTAGGGACTGAATCCAGGTGGGCCACACGTAAGGCTGTTGTGCCCAAGTTTCAGACCCCCAGTTGCGGAGAGACCCAGGTCCACACACGATCATGCAAAAGCAAAGGAGCTTTATTACTAGCCCGAACTAGGGTCCGAGTCTCATCCAGCACAGTGGAGTCTTGACAAGGCCCCCGACTCCAACTCACAAGCAGTTTCTATAGGGCTCAGTCAAGAAGTGGGTTATGTACGGATCTATTCTTAGCGTTGCCCTATTACAACAGTGGTGGGCAATTAGACAGCAGGGACCAGTAATGGTTTGGGGTTCTTTCCAGGAAGGGTGCGGTGACCCCTCACAACTGGCCAGATCCAAATGCCCAGTTTCTTGTCAGTTGGGACTTTACCAGAAACTGCAGCTCTGCTTTGGGGAAACAGAAACTGAGGCCTAGCTGAGATTTCATGCTAAGGAGCCTGCTTTGGGGCCTCACAAGGCAAGCACCCTCCCCGCTGGCATTTGGGCAGTGCTGTCCCTGTTCCTCCGCAGACCCTCCCCTGGGGGACACACTTTCTCCCGTTTGTCCCCTGGACTAGCTCCACCTCCCAACCAGGCCAACACACAGACTTCCTGAGTGTTTGGCCTGGGTGTTCGGTCCCTTTGATCTCTCGGAGGCAGGGTCAGCGCGGACACTGTGGCCGCGGGAATAGAGGCAGGGGACATAGGCAGGGCCAGTCTGGTGAAGGTCCAGGCGCCCCGGGGCAACCTCTTAGGGGTGCCGAGCTCCTTTGGATTCAGACCCAGGGGTGCCCCGACCTTCATGAGGAAGCAGAGAGGCACTGGAGTCCCACACCCAGGAGCTCAGAGCCGGAACCCTCCAGAAACTGCAGTTCTGCTTTGGGGAACCCTCCCCGCAGGACCACACACAGGGCCTGGGTGCATGCCGGGACTCTGCCCTGGGGCCTCCACTCTCTCCCATCCCCACCCGCCCAGCTGGAGGGTGATCAGCCGGGGCACAGCAGGTCCGGGGGAAGGGCTGAGGGACAGAGGAAGGGACTCGAGTGATAGCACAGTGGGTAGGGCGTTTGCCTTGCACGTGGCCCCACCCGGGTTCGATTCCCAGCATCCCATATGGTCCCCCGGGCACGGCCAGGAGTAATTTCCTGAGTGCATGAACCAGGAGTAACCCCAGTGCATCGCTGGGTGTGACCCAAAAAGCAAAAACAAACAAAAAAAAAAACAGAGGAAGGGATTCGGAGAGGCCTGGGGGCACTCTCCAGCCTGGGTGGGGTGAGACCCACAGGGAGCTTCCTGGTCTGGGCACAGGATCTGGGGGCCTCCCGGCTCAGGCCACGTCCAGGCCATGTCCCTCTAGGACAGGCCACGTTCCTCGAGCAGACCACCCCCATGGAAAGACCACGCCCCCGAAGGCCACACCCCTCCATCAGGCCACGCCCCATCTGGCAGGCCGAGCAGCGGGAATCACTGTGGCTTTCTCCTAAATCAAGAGGCCGAGGGACCCCGTCGGCCCCTCAGACACTGTCCTTCACCTTGGGGTCCTGCGGGAGCTGCTGTTCCCAGCCCCTGGAGCAGGAGGGTCCCGCGGGCGGATCCCATTCCTGTCCTGCGCGGCGGGCAGTCAGCGGGCAGCTCCTTCAGGGCGCGCACTGCCCCTGTGATCCCAGCGGGCACGGGGACCAGCCTGCCAGGAGGGTGGGCACTGGGTGGGCGGGAAGGAGTGAGGAGCCGATGGGCGAGTGAAGGCCCTTCCTGTGACCCCCGGGTTACCCCTTGGGGGCGTGGCTGCGGGCCAGGCTTCTCCGAGGTTCCTGCAGGGCCTCCTCAGGCCAGGGACACCAGGCACTGCCCTCAGGGACTGCCGGGTCCTCTTTGGGGGGATCCTTAGGCCCCAGGGCTGAGAGCCCAGCCACACCCTCCGGGCACCCTGACCCACACTCAGCGGGGTGAGAGGGAGACTCCTTGGAAGCTCTGTTGGGGTCACAGCTGAGACATGAGCGAGCACATGAGCGAGGAGCTGGGGTCGGGAGCCGCACCCCCAGGCCAGGGCAGGGAGACAGGGAGGGGGTTGGGCTGGGTCTGGGCTCCTTAGGTGGGGACAGAGTGGCTGGGTGCGGGGGCAGCGCCAAGGCTCTGCCAAGGGCTGGGGACAAGGGGACGGGTCAACGCACAGTCACACCCAGCCACAGGGACAGTTCTCTGAGCCTGGGGTCCTGCCCGTGGACAGTGCTGCAGTCCCCAGCTGTGTCCAGCAGGGAGCAGGAGGCCCCTGAGAACCTG